AAATGAACAGCCCTTTAGAATCATCTGATAGCCTTCGTCACATAACGACTGGAAAGTTGATAGTTACGTTAACTGCTCTAAGGTACGCTACGATGAGCGAGAGCTGTTCAGTGTACCCAGACAGGGATATCCGGAAACGCAGTTAGGTACCAAAAAGCAACTTTTGCACAAATACACCCTGCAAACACACGACGAACCAATATGATAGTTTCCGGAAGAGCGGAAGTTGAGCTTCGAAAAAAATAGTCTACTCGCAAGGATGAGCCGTTAGGACGTACGATCCTGAGCTGTCGGAATTGCTATTTTTTAAAAAACCAGTTCCTCGCATCCGATTCAAAATTCCGAGGAAATCCGGGTCACCAGAACTGAAGCAAAAAAACGCGTAATGAGATGAGACTCCGTTTTGGAATTTTTAGGCAGCAGGGGCATAACTGCCAAATTTACGTTAACAGTACATTTTGAGGTGCTTAAATTTAGTGTCGATAGCCCACGTACAAAAACCGTGTGCCATCTCTGTCATGAATACCGAGGACACAATAAGAGTTTAAAAGCATTCTTTAATTGCCGAGGAAACTCGAGAACAAATCGAGCATATCAGAAGCATAGCCTTTTGCCTGTGATATCATAACATGTGTGCTGTTTGTGCTGATCAGAACCACAGCAGATATAAATTATGCTCGCTTTGTGTGATAATGTTTGTCCTACCTATAAAAGGAACTGTTCCTAAGAAAGAGTTGGGAGACGGTGACAGTTTTCGGCACAAGAACTCTGCGATATTTTAAACGGTCTGATCAACTTTAATTCCAAAGCTCGCCTTCTCTAAAGAATTCGAATTTCGTCCCAGATATCTCCTATAACTGGAATTCAGACAAATGGCATTTTCTGAGTGGAAAGAGGGAAAAAAATCCACTTAACAAACATCTTGTGTAAGGCATCTTTCCTTTGTTAAACTGAAACTTATTGCTTTGCTAAAAAGTATTAAAAAAATATTAAAAAGTAGAACATTTGTCTCGTTTAACAACATTAAATCTAGTCTTTGTTTTGTCTTGCGAAACCTCATTCATTTAATGCATATTCAGAGCACATAAAGTCAGCAAAAAGCTGTGCAAAAAAATTATGCATTTTAGGAAAGTTATCAGTTATACCGCAAAATTAACACTGAATCAAAACAACAGCAGCATAGATCGAATTCAGCACATGTGTTGACCATCATTCCCGTCCAAAAGACATCAGCAACGATGGGGCCGTACTGAGCAGGTGAAATTTGAAGGCGCCGGGACCGAAGCAAATAAAGTTGGCCAGCGCGCTCTATACGGACTAATCGAGCAATCTTGGAATGAAAAAAAGAATCGGATTTAGCAGCCAACGACATTCAATACGTGGTATTTGAGCAACAGCCTTTGGATCTGTAATTCCTTTGGAAAAGATGCAGGGAACGCCCTGTGAGGATATGTAAGTCGTAATAATGGAGTTATGGCCCCCCCTTCACTATGCCTCCATGCAGTATGATTTCAAGAACCGGAACATTCCTGTTTAGCTATTTAATTTCAATTTTATGCTACATTCTTTAATTTTACTAAAGCATACCTTTAAACCATGTACATCGATTATTGATCTTCGTGCAGGGCAAAGGATTTTGTTCGAATATCCTTGTTAAAAAAAGTAACGCCTGGCATGAGTCGTGTGCCCAGACTTCAGAAGGAGGATACGTCCCCCTCTATCCCTTTTCCTCCCATTCTTCCTCTTTCCCTCTACTTTTCGTTACCATGTTACAAATTACCGCTTTTGCTACCAAAAAACAATCTAATATAGCACTACTGCCTATTTTTATGCGTTTCTTGCAACTATGCAATGCAGAAAACGCATACTGACAAGGGGCTGTCTGTGTGCCTGTGTGTGCGCCGTGCGTCTGTACGGATTTTTCATCTCGAGACCTACAAAAGCTACAGGGCTGAAACTTTGGGAACTTAACCTACATGCGTGTATGAGCCCTCATTTCCAAAATGGGCGTTCTTATCCGCGTGGTACCCACGTACGGGCCCGTCAGAGTTTTTTCGGGTAAGTTGCTAACTCGGGAACCTGGGAAGCTAAAAGACTGGAATTTTAACGGGATCTTCCCCGTCAAAGTAGGTATTAATGACTTTAAACCCAGCTCCTGGGCATACGTGTTACCTATGTACGAGCCCGTGAAAATTTTTTTCGGATAAGTTGCCAACTCAGGTACTTGAGAAGCTAGAAGACTGGAAGCCAAATCATCGTCTCAGTCATATTTTACCAGCTCTGGCAATGATAAATATTATGCAAAACAAAAAATACTGAAAAACAAAGAGAAGCAGAGGCAATAAAATGCTACTAGTACATTATGCAAGGCTATCAGAAATGCGCTCAGGCAAATAATAGAGAAATTAAGCTTACATAATCTGTAACTACACAGCAATAAAATACAGGATCAGTTAGACTAGCACTATTTGCGATAACTATTCTTCGTTCTGTATCTGTCATATGAAAAAAGTGTTTTTTTTTCAAGAAGTAA